TTGAATTGAATTGAGGCTGATCAAGGAGGACAGTTCGTGACGACTGGGCCAAGCGAGGGTGCACATGCAGAGTGTGTAGAGTAGTGGAAGATCGAGGATTGTGGTGAAAAATCAAACGACAGGTAGAGGTGATGCTGGTCGCTGCACAAAACGACGAGCAAGAGGAAAGGGAGGTCGTCGGAGAGTCGGAACGGGACAACCGAGCGACAAGAAAGAGCATGTGAAGCCGTGTAACGTCTGAGGAAAATGGAACGCGCTGGAATCGCACGCAGCGCAACTTCCGTTGGAGTATCATCAAGCAACAGCGAATGAAAGCAATGAACTTCATCACGGAAATGCATATTGACCTCCCTTCGCGTCGAACAGGATAATCTAAAAATCATTTGCATGTGTCTGACATGTGTAATCAATAGCCTTTTCATCTCAAATGCAATCAGTATGCATTTATAACATCGGCATCTTAGTTGCGTATGGCTGCAAGCCACGATAACAGCACATTTTTTATTATTGACCGGTGGTGTTCTGTGTCTGACGCTGTGATCACATCTTGCATTCTTCTTATAAGCAGGAAGTGCTGGTTTATATCCACAAAACGCATCATGGAACTTATTATACGAGCCCAACGAGCCCAGCAGCTGAAAGCTCCCTCCAAAGCAGACGATCTTCTCGAATATGGAGCAACTGCTGCTCGTATGCTCAAAGAAATTGCTGAAGCGACAGGAGTGCCATGCTTAAAAACAATCGCAGGTCTCACTACGTTGATCATCCAAACAGTTCAGGTACGCGTCCAGTTCTCTACAATCGCCACCCTTCTCACTAAAGAGACCATGAATAAATCAGACCGTTCGGTATAATAAGGATGAATGTATGCGCATGACAGAACACACATACTGGCTCATTTGCGCAATCATCAACATTTGTAAGAATACCGAGGCCGAACTGCCCCCGGATATGGTGCGGAATATTGAACAATTCCAAGAGTATGTCAGCATCTCACATTTAGAAATATAATAACGGGCACTAAATCCGAAGTTTCGTACGTAGCACTCTTCAGAAACTACTTTCCTACGTGCGTATGCATGTCGATAGTAGGCTTCTACAGCGTGTTATTAAACACATGCATGTATCTTCCCTATTATCCGACTGTAACAAAGCCATCCAGCATGCTTTGGATGTATTTGGGGTGCGTTCTTACACTTTCCTTATAATCATTTACCATGTTGGCCATTAATATCGTTAAAATATAGGTACAATCCCATGTCATCACTGCTGTTACTCTCGCAGAAATACAAGAGAATGCTGCTCGTCGTCACCAGGAAACCATGGATGTTCTGTCTTCCAAACAGGCAGTATTGCCCGCCGGAACGACACTCGAGGATCTTAGACGCAGGTAGGATCTGTCAGCCCTCAAAAAACGTGTAACCTAAATTGATCTTATATTGTAGTTCAAGTACTCTATCCTTACTGCCTGCATCGCCTCTGATTTTCACCGGTCGTGACAAAGAACAACAAGAAATCATAACCATCATGCAGAACAATACTGCAGCTAGGATCGTCGTCCTTGGACCTGGCGGAATAGGAAAGACGTCGTTAGCACTTTCTGTGTTACATGATCATAGCATTGTAGACATCTTCGGTACGCGACGGTATTTCATCTCGTGCGATGCTGCAATCACCGCAGACAGTTTGGTCAGCACCATTGCCAAATATTTCAACCTCGAAGAGAAACTTAAATTGTCGAATGCGATTATCGGCTACCTAAATCGCTCTAAGGAGCCGGCTTTGATGATTCTCGACAACTTTGAAACCCCATGGGAGATTCCAGAGCACAGATCAAAGGTCGAGAATTTCCTCGCTCTTTTGGCCAACATATCTTCTCTGTCGATTGTGGTGAGTGGTGTTGATAGACGATATTCTACAATTTTAACATCTTTCATTATTAGCTTACAATGCGCGGAATCGAACGGCCTGGCAATATTCGATGGACCCGACCCTTTTTAGCACCGCTTGAGCCTCTCGCCGATGACGCAACGGAAGAGATATTCCGTGACATAACTGATATCAATGACGACGATCCAGACCTCATGAAGCTTCTCAAGCTTACCGATAACCTCCCTCTCGCAGTGACACTTATGGCACACTTAGCAGAATCTGAAACTTGCACCAATATTCTTTCGCGGTGGGAACAAGAAAGTACATCACTTCTGTCCGACGGCATGGACAAGATATCAAGCCTAGAGAAATCTATATCTATGTCAATCTCTAGTCCACGAATGAAAAACACTCCAGATGCTTTAGAGCTACTGTCGCTATTATCTCTTCTTCCTGATGGAATATCAGAAGCAACTCTTCTACAGATGAAGCTCCCACTTAATAATGTCCCTAAATGCAGATTTATACTTATCTCGACCTCGCTAGCATATGTAGACGGCCAAGGGCGAGCCAAGGCATTAGCTCCTATTCGTGCATATACTCGTACATATCATCCACCACGAAACGAGTCCCTTCAAAGTCTCAATTCATATGTGAATCAATTACTCAATATTTGGACGGCATATTATGATTATCCCAGCCAGCATCAGATCGATGCTATCTCGAAGGAGTTGGGAAACATATACTCCATATTGGATTATGATCTTCAAATTGCTCAAGATTTTGCTGATAATAATTTCCAGCTAGTAAACACAGTTATATCCCTTTTTCGAATAATGGATTGGATGGCAATAGGATCAATCGATTTTTTATTATCACTTGGTTCTATAGTTAAGCAGCTTGGAAACCAAAAGCTGCTGCAGGGACAGATACTTTGTTATCTTGGGGCATTGTCTGAAATTTATATCACTTCCAGAGATGCAGAGAAGGATTTACAGGATGCATATGATTGCTTTGAGAGTGTGGGCGCATTGAACGAACAAGGTATGTATTGCTTTGTACTTCCAGTGGATACATGGTAATCATTAATCACTATAACCTCAGCGATGGTTACAATATCTTTATGTTATCGAGAAGAAGACCCCATCAAAGTCTCAAATATGGCTAGGAAGGCAGCCTCAATGACGACACACGGTTCCCTAGGAACCTATGTTCAATGCAGAGCTTTTGCAACTTTATCTTCCGCTCTTTTATGTTCTGGCTATATTACTGATGCCCTACATCATTTACAAGTGTCAGAGTCTATATCAAGAGCAACCGGATACGTGAAAGGCGAAGTCATGTGCATTACAATTCGCCTTCGTGCGTATGCACACTTGGGAATGTTTGAAGAAGCCATCACGCTCTGCAATTACGCAGCCCAAATAATAGATGCCTTGGGTCTAAAATTCTCAGCTTTAGGACCGACGATTCTGAATTTGACTGTAATCCATGGGTTCATTTTTTTTCTGAAGTCTGAATATCATCATTGCCGAGAAGTCTGGCAGAAACTTCTGCAAGCAGTCCATTCGGAATATCTTCATGATACACTGATTCATGCAATCGTTTTACACAATCTAATCGAGATGGACATTGCCACAGAGCGCATCACCGATCATCAAATGCAAAAAAACTTTGAAAAATTAGAATCGATGGCAGAGCTGCTTTCGTGCTATCAGTTCGGATGCACTCACTTGCTCCCATGGAGCCGGTCCCAAATATACTTCGAAAATGGTGACTTGAAGAATGCTGCTCATCAGTGTTCACAGTCCTTGAGGAGTCCATATCAGTGGCAGACAGATGAAGACCGGCCACAAAGGTTACATCTACTGGGAGACATATATCTGCAACAGCAAGAAGAAGATTATGCACTGAGTATCTACATCCTATCTTTAGTAACTGCTCACAGACTTCAGCACAAGCCATACATGCATCAGGCAATCTGTGGTATTGGAGATGCTTTTCTTGCATTGGATGAAATTAATACTGCTGTCTCACTATTTGAAATTGCCTTGGAGGGATTTACTAAAATGGATATTCATCGCGGCAAAGGAGAATGCATGATTCGGCTTGGAGACATTGCCCATCTGTGCGGGGAATTGGGGAAAGCAAGAAATTTATGGACGGATGCAATTCCTTTATTCGAAAAGAGTGAACAAAGCAAGCAAGTTATAAATTGCGAGAATAGACTCCAGATGTTGGAGATGTAGTGACTTGAGGAAGGTAGGTAGTATTACGAACAGCGATCTTTCCAAAGCATGTACCACTCGCAGTCGTGTTTCCAACAGCTTCTCCGCATATCATCTTCCCATCAGAATATGCTTCCTTATGTACATTCATCCATACGGACAATAGAATATACCTAGAGATACTATTACCTTGTAACCTGATTTGATCAAATTTATATATGATTGTGATATACTGAGCTTGAACATGAATCCAAATAAAAAGTGGCCACGGACTACAGGCAAATATCAACATTGACCTCACTGGCACCCCGAGTAGAGCAGGGATCGTCTAGAAATTTATTTCGCTCTCTCTGTTTCATAGGATCCAGATGCACACCTTGCGCTACAAAGTCGTTTCCACATACTACTATAGATCGATATATAAATGTGCAGTGCAATAGAAAAATGGAAAGAATTAGGCACGATTTTGTCAACCTTCAACACCCAGATGCGCACCTTGAGCTACGAGGTCCTCCCCCACTCTCACTTCGAAAGAGATATAGACATATCGGATTTTTCGACCGTATCGAGCAAAAATCCAAAGAAAAGAAGTTGATATGGCATATCACCACCTTGCCCCTACTCGAACAACGGAATTATTTGGATAACTTAGATGAATTACCAATACACAAAGGAGGTCTTCACTACATGATGCTTCACCTCCAGTTAGAATACAAGTACAAGTAGACTCCAATTGCGTAGGTGCTTATCCCTTCGAGCAAGTGAAAATAAAAGGACTTCTGCATAGACCCAGGACCCTGTATCGAACAGGAACGGGATGAAGAGCCGACACTATAAAATCTCTTGCACTTGGAGTCGAAGAGAATCACAAAAATCAGAAAACCTTACACCACATATCATTAACCTCGCCCTGAGTCGAACAGGGATATTCTAGTGAATCGTTTCAGACTCCAACCATCGAATGTATTCCAGACGCACTAATCATTATGCTACGAGGTCCTCCTCCCTCTACCCGGTTCGAAAAAGATATAGAGTTCTCAGGTTGCTGTTGTCAGGGATCGATAAACTTGTAAAAATACCTCAAACAAGTTATCGCTTAAAGTATCTTGGTTTGAACCTCAACGCGATTCGAACAAGGATCTTCTGGATTATACACACGCACATTGCGCTACGGGTTCGAGTTTGAATAAGAATCTCATTAGAAGAGAATTAGAAAAAAATCGAATGAATGTTCAGTATCGATTTGCTATTGACCTCGCCCCGAGTCGAACAGGGACATTCTGGTAAATCGAGTTTCCTTCCTCAACTGCGCAATAGATATAGAGTCCAGACGCATTTACGATTATGCTACGAGGTCGTCTTCCCTCTACCCAGTTCTAAAGATGTAGAGTCCTCGGGTTGCCGGTGCAAAATTTGAAATATCCGAAAGAAAAAAAACTACGCATAAAAAGACGGTATTGAACCTCGCCCTGATTCGAACAGGGATCTTTAATGAATGCTGGAGAATTACTAGATGCATTTGGTGAGAGATACGCGCTATGCTACGAGGCCTATGGATGTAACCTGCTGTAGCGAGTGAGGTGAGGTACCGTAGCAAGTATTCTAGTAGAGATCAGGATCAATTTCACCCGAGAAGACTAATGTTATTCCATAATGATTTGGAGTGTACGCTTAGAGATTGGGCGCGGTGTTTCAAGTATCACCATTCGGGAGGCGAGCGGTCTGAATATATATAATCATAGTGATAGTGAGCCCCGAAGAAAATGAACGCCGGTGAGATGGCCAGAGGAATGCCGGAAGTGAGGTCAACTTATAAGATTAAGAGGGCAACCATCGAGTCTAGAATCAACGACAACTGCTCATAAACTCGAAGAAGAGGAAGAAGCTAGAAGTAGCAAATGTCGAAATGCGAAATGAAAGCGATAAGCAGCGGGAGAACTTCGAGCTCGAGAAGAGCAGCGAGGCAATGCCCATATGATCGTGCCAGCTGAGCGCGGATGTACTAGCTACGGTCAGGCGGGCGACGAATGCCAGCGAAGTTCATCCATCATCACTTAGAGTCGGGCAGGACGGTTCAGCGATGGGCGTGCATGAGACGAGGAGTTTCCTCAATTTTAGCTGCGCACTCCGGATAACACCCAAAATACTTCGCACGTGGAGCCGAGCCGAGTCGGCATGGGAGAGGCCGCTTTTCGGCGCGGAGGAGCATCATTTTGGGGAGCATCCCACCCACCTCCGGGGGCCAGGGTGGCACAGGCGAGGCGAGGATGATGGGAAGATGAGAAGACGGTCCTGGAAAGGGCTTGACTCGCGCTTTGCATTCTTGGTTCCTTCCCGTCACCAACGCACTTTCAGAATGTCGAGTAGTGAGTTTACGTTTCCTCTTTGTCTTCTTTTCTCTCTTCGCCCGTATCTTTGTGTTCTTACGGGTGCGGGTGTCGAATGCGGTTGCATGCGGGCGGAATATAGTTCACTGCGGGGAGAAAGGGAGGAGGGATGATCACCCGGAGGTGGAGGTTATTTTCGGTTTTTTTTTCACCATACCAGCGAGGGAATGACTTCACCGATAACGCGATATGCGTATCGTGGTAGCCTCGAGGTCTTCCCTCCCATCCGCATCTTCCCCACTCCAATCGCATAGACCAGGCGTTGCTCCCTTGCTCGCTTTGATCCTCGTTCATTTCTTGTTGCTTGCTTGTGCTTCCTTCATCACGCTAGTCGAGTCTTACTCGCTCCACTTGTTACGACACGCTCTATTTTCTTTTATCTTTCTTGTTTGCCGCAGCCGCGACAATTCCCCTAGCTAGATGTCGTCCTCCACGGCGCAGCAGCCCCCCGCGACGAGCGACGCCCCTGTACCCTCGTCGTCAGCCTCTTCTTCACCACGTACGAATGCCTCTTCCTCTTCTTCCCCATCCTCTTCTATGACCGATACGACTATAACGACCTCTCCTTCTAGTTCAGCTTTCTCTCTGTCCCCCCTGTTTATTCTTTTACTAACCCTTCCCGTCTCTTTCAATAGCCGATCAAAGTACCGTCCCACCCCCGCCCCCTCCTTCATCGACGCCCCCACCACCCCCTCCGTCCTCCGATTCATCGACGCCCCCACCAGAATCGTCAACACCTCCACCAGGGAGTAGTACCCCACCGCCGCCAGCGAGCAGTACACCACCGAGTAGCGCTCCGAGTTCGACGCCACCTAGTTCTGCTACAGAGAGCAGTAGTGCGGCAAGTTCGAGTGCAGCATCTGTGACGTCGAGTGTACTCACGCAGAGCTCGACGAGTGTGTTTCAAAGTGCCAGTGTGTGAGTCGTCTCATTTGCCATTGTTCCTTCATTTGTTTCTTCCCATTGTTCTTCGTTTCCTTTCATTCATTTTCCTCTACACATTCACGTTCCTCGGTCTCTCTCACCTCACTATTCATTCACCCTCATCCCGCTCCCCATCGTGTCATCGTGCCTGGACCCACGCACCCTAGCCGAGGCATCATCGGAGGCACTCATTGGCGTGGCATCTTTTTCTCTATTCCGGTCCGCTCGGGGCCTGTTGATGTTGGTGGAACAGAGGATGAGCTCGGCTCTAGATGGGAGCTAGACCTTGTGAAGTCAGAATCTGCCTGTCTCTGCTGTTTCTCGAACCCTTCACAGCATCCCAGCGTGTCTTTAATTATTGTTTCATTTGGGCTTTACCCCCCTCTTCTCCCTCAAAGCACCTAACTAACCACCCTTTCCTAACAGAGGCACAACAAACGGGCAAGCGTTCACCACCCTCGTGCAAGTCAGCACCGTCCTAGCGCCAGGCACAGTCGTAACCAGCCCCGCCGACACCCACACCTCTACCAAGTCAGGGAGTAATACAGGTGCCATTGTTGGTGGGGTCGTCGGTGGTTAGTTTCCTCCCTCCAGTCTTCTTTTCTCACACAGACTAATCAACTTGCAACGCTCCACAGGCATCGGAGGCCTCGCCGCCCTGCTCGCACTCCTCCTTCTCTACCTCCGCCATAGGCGACGCAACAACCTCACTGAATTCGACGGGAACTTCGATCCTGACCGCGTCAACTCTGGACGCCCGGGCGGTGCTGGAGGTGGAGGCACGCTCCCCCAGATCGATTTGGACGAGGATGATGGGATGGGCGGACGGCTTGCCGGGAGCGGGATGGGTGCTGCGGGACTCGTGACGCCGTTTACGCTTGGTGGCGGAGCAGGGCAAGGAGGCGGGGAGATGAGCCACATCGGTGGCCCCGTCCTCGCAGGCGCCGCCGCTGGTGCTGGTGGTGCATACGCATACAACCACCACAACAATAACAACAACGAAAATGGCTCCCCCACGCACACCAACGCATCCTCGCACTACCCGCCCACCACCCCCGGCACGCAATCCATCTACTCCAGTGACGGGTACCAGCCTACGATGTCGAGCGGGCAGTATCCCCCCAACCCTTACGCTCCTCCGCTCCCCTTGGGCCGAGGACCCAGCCCGGGACAGAGTATGCTGGCGGGGACGAATAGTAGTTCGGGGCATTCACATGGTGGTGGGTCCGTTGTGGGTGGGATGGGAGCCGCAGGAGCAGGGTATGCGACGAGCAACAGTACTAGCAACCCTCGCAGCGCCAAGGAGCTCGAGGCGTTTGGAGGACGGAGGGTTGCAAACCCTGATGAGGGTGCCGGACCTTCTGCTGGGCAAGGAGAAGAACACCTCCCGAACCCATATGCGAGTGTGGACCCGCAGGCGCATGCTGCGTATTTGCAGAGCGGGCCTGGGAGACGGGAGAGTGTGGGTGGGGAGTTCGGCGGTGGTGGTGCTGGGCCTGCGTTCCCGCATCCTCAGCATCATCAGGCCTCGTTCGCACCAGCGCAACCTTATGCCCAACCCGCGGCGCAGGGGTCGGGGGTGATCGTTCACCGGGATGGCGGGCGTATTCCTGATCGGGGAGGGGAGGAGCAGGCAGAGATTCCGCCTACGTATGATAGTATTCCGAAGGAGGAACGATAGATATCAGTATAGGTGGGTAACATGGTTTTTGGCTTGACAGGAAATGGTGCTGACGATGTTTTGGCTTAAGCTATGGAGGGAAAGGAAGAGACTTATACCGACACATATCCCTTTCACGCAAACGTTACCTATATGGAACCTTGGAACTTGAAATCAGCGTCATCGCCATCATCACCTCGTTCTTCTATTCAATTTCATATCCCGTGCTTACCCCCCTTCATTTGCCCATTCGCCCTACTTACCTTTCCTTTCCGACTCTTCCATGCTTACCCACATCCCCCTTCCTCTCAATCCCCACCCACTCATGCCGTATATGAGCAACGACTCCTCCAATTACCCTTATTGCACAATTTTGGACTTTTGTTTAGACTTTTGTTTTGCATCCACCCGTTCCCCTACTACCCCGTTACACCTTACACCTTACGCTCCCACACCTTACGCTCCCCCGCCTTACGCACACCACCCACGCACTGTACCATCCATTCATCCATCCAATGGACACGCTCACGAACCCAAACTCTAAAACTTTATCCACCCACCTTGTAGTTTATAACTTAAAACTCGTACTTTAGTCTTCTCGTATATTATTGCTTTTTACATTTTCCTGCCTATACGCATATCGATATCAGAATTACCATTCTTTACTTTAATTTTTGAGAGAGAGCTAGTTGGAGTTGTTGATGGGATCTTTTCAACAATCGATCAGTGAGAGTCAGGCAATGGGGAGTAAGTACATAGGTGTTTTGGTCACGTATACCAAGTTCGCTTTTCAATGCTATACCTACACTTTAATAATGACACCCCTGTTCTGAGTGCCAAGGCCTCGTAGCGCACTGGTAGCGCATCTGCATGTCGTGGCACCCTGCCAACTCGTCAATTCTACAGCAGACTTACAGCCTGTTCGAACCAGGTCGGGGCCATATGCACACATGGTACGCTGAACTTTTTATGTGACCATCATCAATCATCTTAAACGCGGACTGTATATCCATTTTTTTAAATAATGTTGTTCTTAAGGTCCTGTAGTGCATTGGTAGCGCACCTGCATGTCGTGCTTCGCAACTGATAAATCCAAGCAGATTAGAGCCTGTTCGATATGCATGCTATGCAGTGCTTTTTATGTGACCGTTCATCACTTTAAACGCGACATCTATATCCTTTTTAACAACGTTGTTCTTAGGGCCCTGTAGCGCATTGGTAGCGCATCTGCATGTCGTAGTTGCTTGTTCATATACTCCATAGCAGATTTGCACCCTGTTCGAACCAGGTCGGGGCCACGGAATATTACGGCTGGAATTTTTTTTATGACTGGCATCACTTGATACACCATATATCCTGGTCAAATCTTGGTTTAATATTTGTCAATACTATGGGCGATGATGCATCTCGTTACCTTCCTTAGTATTGCTACTATACAGTTTTAACAATTTTATTCTTAAAGCCCTGTAGCGCATTGGTAGCTCATCTGCATGTCGTACTTCTTAGCTAATGAGTCCAAGTAGATTAGAGTCTGTTCGAACCAGGTCGGGGCCATTCGTGAGCAAGACATGAATGTCAATTTTTATGCCAACTATCATTTTCAAAAACGCGATATATCCTTTTTTTAACAACCTTCTTCTTAAGGCCTTTCAGCGCACTGGTAGCACATCTGCATGTCGTACTCAATATGATACAGCAGATTTACAGCCTGTTCAAACTTCGAACTAGGTCGGGGCCATACATTGCCGGAAAGAATCCTTTTTATGACCATAACTTCCAATGCCTTTAAACTCACTTTAATCACGATATACTTATCCCGGTTGAGTGCTATTGGCCAACGGGGTCATCGTCGACTCGGCATGAGTAATAATTGGATGCATCTCGTTACCTTTATTAACTTTTAACGATTATTCTTAAGGCCCCGTGGTGCGCTGGTAGCACATCTGCATGTCGTAAATACCTTCGCACTTCACCGCGAATTCAACAGTCTGTTCGAACCAGGCCGGGGTCGTATGGATGTATACAGACGCATAAGCTACCTTTTATGAACGTCAATTTAAACGCGATATATCCTGGTTGAATATATGCTAATCACGGACCTTGAGTAATAATTATTCATCTCGTTCAGACTTTGTTACCCCCGATTTTAATTACTATACACTTTGAATAACAGATACTACATCTCCCGCTGCTGCTTTCGTTTCGAGCTTGGTACGTGGCGCATTATTTCTGTTTTTTTGGATGGATGAAAAATACATCAAAATACAATAATAGACTACAAGATTATTAATGCGACTTCTGATTACTTTACTCAATCCTCATATAGAGAGCCAGCGGCGGTATAAGTCATTGGCCAGAGGTATTGCCCCAGTGATTACGTAAATAAGAGAGAGGTTATAAGCGGATTCACGAGCAAAGGTATCATCCTACAAATGAAGTTAGCTATCAAATCTCATATAGTGAAAGTGCAACGACACATACAATGCCCCGTTCTGCCATTTCAAGAACTCTTTCATAATGCTTGACGGCATGTGAATATAGTCCTGGTAAAAGCCTCTATTAGCACTGGCATGCAATTGAAGTCTGGTCGCACTCACCGAGCTGATGGAACGTCCTCCCGAAATTGAACTCCACTTCACCAACACCTTTTGCATCCGTTCCCCGCAAGGTACGATAGCGGGTGAGAAAAGCCATTGCCTAAAGAAACATTGGATTAGACATGGTAGGCCGTAGAGCCCCTCCAGGACATACTTGTGTTATCAAATGATGTCGGTTATCGCTCTGCCTCTGCATAGCCCGACCGATCGAAGCTATAGCTAAACATAGGCAGATCATGGGGTCGTCTTGACAGTAATCATATGCATGTAAAAGGTAGACTAAGGAGAAATATGAAACTTCAGTTATATGTACGCGAAAACACGAGGAAAGAAGCAGACATATAGCACTTTGATAACTCTTTGCGGCGATACAGATCTGCCCGTAGATTGTGACTATGACGGGGTTCTGCTTGGTAGGAAGCTCCAAGTGATTCGAACTGACAGGAGCTCCGACTTCCTCTTCCTCTGCGTTACGATCGTCATCATCGTCCTGATCCGCAGTTCTGCTCAGAGAGTTCAATGCGTAACGCTTGTTCAGAGGATTCCATTTCAGCATTTCAGGATTCTTGACGGCAGTATCAGCCAACTTCATTTCACGGAAAAGATGTTTCTGGAGCGTCGATGTAATGAACGCGTCGGTTGGTCTGAGGCCGCTGGCGAGGGCGGCCATGAGAATACGCTGTGGCTCATTGTTGAATTGGTGAAGGGTGATTAGCTTTCGCGCTTGTTCAACGACGATTGTATGTCTTTGGGTGGTAAGAGCACAAGCTGTACAGAATACGTTAGAGTAGCCACGCAGTAAGAAGTGCGGTAACGCTCACTCATGAGAGCGATTCGAATAGAGTCTTGTCGTTCTGGGAGCTGATATGCATTCGATACCATGATATGTCGTAGAACTTCGTCTGCTAGGTCATACTCCCCTCGTTTTGTAAGTAGGAATGCGTACTAAACCACGTTGATCAGTAGTCGTTCAAGATAAAGAGAGAATATGCTCACCTGCATGAACAGACGTAGCCAATCATCGAAAGACACGCCACGGAAGACATCAACACCTTTGTCATCGTGTTTAGCTGCCTTGCGAGCCATGCCTTCCCGCTCTGCAGACGATATGATTATGTGATGCTTTCAAGCTGGGAAAGGGAGCAACTAACCGATGTCAAGGTGAAGACGAGACATCATTCGATCCTCCTCCGCCTCGTTTTCCTCTGCTTGCTGCTTCGCCTTTCGACTTCGAGGAAACATACCTCTAAACGGATGTGACTAACAACAAGATTAGCAAATACTAAGATATATTCAATGACTTCACTCACCCGGCTTGTCAAGAACAAATTCCTCGTCTCCCTGAACGTCTCCACCAGCTTCTCAGCCTCAACCAGCCACTCGCGCTCCCCAGCCTCTTCACCAGCTAGCATCTTGCCCCACAGATCCTTCACTCGCTTATACCCTCGGACCACCTCCTTCTCCCTCTCTGCCTCAAGCTCCCGTAGTTGGGCGTGCGAGAGTCGGTTCTGTGCACGCAGAGCTGTGGCTTTTGATTTGGCTGTGGTACGTTCCTCAGCGAAGAGTGAGGTACCAGCATTTGCAGCATCGTCCCCTTGAGCGGCATCTCGATCTCGGGGACGCTTTTTCCGAGAGTCGATGACTGTTGGGATAGTGAGCATTAAAGCAAAAAGGAATAGGTCTACTTACCCTCGTAGACAAGCTCAAGAGCTTTTCGAGGCTCGTTCATAATCTCATAGATCTCAGCCAATTTCATCTTAGCGTCATTGTTTGAGGGATCCGCCAATTTGACTTCATAAAGGAGTTTAATAAGAGGTAGCACAGTAAATTAAGCCAATAACGCTCACTGTGTTCATAAACCTCGGCAGCTTCCTTCAGCTCATCAAGCATACGAAGGCAAGCGGCTGTTTGAAGTAGGACATAGAGACTGCTTGTCTGGGAAGGAAGTTAGTACTCTGAAGAGAATGTTTATGGAAATGTATACGGCAGGATCTCCTCCAAGAAGCTCGTAAATAGGTTTAGCCTCAGCATACATCTCGCGGTCAAAGTAGGCATCTGCAATCTCTGCAAAGAGAACCGCATAATCCAGCACATCCTCCGATAGGACAGCATTTGCATGCAGCTAAATGCACTGTAAGTGAAGGATAGCCAACTGGAAGAGCGTTAGGATTTACCTTGCCCTCTTCCACTTCACCCATTTTGATCCTCGCAACCGCCAACCGGTGCCTCGCGTTAGCATCAAGTTCGAACCTCCCGGCCTGCACACCCCCACTCTCAGCAGTAACAATCCTCGCAGGCCACCCCTCCCCATCATATTCCCTATCATCCTCACACAAATCCCAATACTTCTGTTCCGCGCGTCCCTGCAGCCACCTCGTTCCCTTCCGAATAACCTCAATCGCACTCTCATGTTCGCCCAGCGCGTTGTACAAATCCGCTAGAAGGAGGAGATCGAGCCGAGAGAATCCCCCACCGGGTACGGGCGCACCCGTGGTAGGGTCAAGCCCGTGTCCGAGGGGGTAGGTCTTTTGGTAGTACTCAAAAGCTTGCTGGAGGAGGGAGGCGCAGGTTGGGAGGTCAGAGAGTTCGACAAGGATGGTGTGTAGTTCTCGTAGAACGGTGAGATCATGTGGGTAGCGTTTGAGAATGGCGAGGAAGGCGTTGCGGGCCTGAGGGCTGTGAGTTGGTGTACTGGGAGTGTAGAATGGTGAACTTACTGTTCGGAGGTCCCCGATTTCTTTTGCAAGAGATGCTCGATCCCATAGCGCGTCAACGTTCGTAGGATCCAGACTGTAGACTTTCCGGTAACAGTATAGCGCTTGCTGGTTATACCCATGCTCCCTGAATCGTATAAGCAAACGTGAAATCACATTCCAAATATAAATTCACCTCGACTGACGCGCTAATCGACCCCACTCATCTGCATCATGCCTCAAATGAGCAGCCATAATCCGTAGTTGAAGTCCTTTCATTTCCTGTCCCTCATCTTCATAGCATTGAGCAAGTACCGACCAGGCAGACACCGCGCGTGGTTCAATACGAATAACTTCCTGCATGATACGAATGGCCTCCGATAAATCATTGTCCACATACGCCTGGTTTCCTTCTCCAATGAGAGCTTTAACTTGCTGCGACAGAATTGGTCCAGCGACGCGTCCCCTCTAATCAGGGTCAGAGATAGCCCAAGAGAAGCGCGCGATAGATACGTGCCTTTTTTCGTTTACGCCCTACTCCTGAAGCTTCACGTAGGTCGTCACGGAATTGGGCTTCGCTTTCCTCGATGTTGAAGTCCCAGTTTTTTTCTAGTCCACCAGAGCTACTTGAAGAGGATGTATTGCCAACTCGGATGTTCTGAACAAGACGACTACGCTTTATAAGTCCCGTTAAAGTTGCGAAAGGACGAACTTACTCGAAGTCACCCTCAATCTCTCGTTCTGCACGAACCTCGTCTGCACTAGGACTCTCGTTTTCCTCGTCTTCACTTTCACTCTCATCCTCTTCGTCGCCGGCAGAGCCAGAATCGGGCTCATCCGATCCCGCTACTGAAGTTCAGCAATCATTCGTATCTATTTGAATGAAAACTTACTTAACGCTTCGTCATCTTCATCCGAACTTTCTAAAAGCTCCTCATCCAACTCAAAGGCGTCTCCAAGCATGCTCACGGGTGGGCGATCTCTCCAAGTCCTCCAGTTTTCAAGTCT